GTAAATGTGTCAGTCAATGTCTGCAGACCATGCGACAAAAATTTCCCAGACATGTCTTCCTTTCTATTACATAATAACTTCATAAGTGTTAGTAATAATGACTTCCCCATACCCCCACACCTCCCACACACGGTTCCATTATCAACAGCCAATGATTACACAGAACCATGGAATCATGCATGTGAGCATTCCTCCCAGAGTCTGTAGCATATAAGGTAGAAACGTGATGCAAATCGCTTATAAATCATCTTTTTTAATCCAATTTGCATAGCTTTTTAACAATCGTGACTTTTAAAAACACTGCCAAAGGGTTTACCAAAGATGTGAATTTCGAACGCATATAAAATATAGTAGACTAAGAAAACAGATGTTGGTTGCCAGAGACCATGAATATTTTAAGAAAAATCCATTAAAGAATTTTGAAAGGAGAAAATAAATTTAGAGTTACAAAACTGAGATGTGGGTCAGTCGAGGTTGTATATATTCAGTTTTCAAAATGTTCCTCAAAATTTTACACAATCCATGGTGTTTGATTTATTTAACCTTTATTAAACAGTTCTAATAGATGTTATAAGAACATAAAGTCCGGAGAACCTGTTTTATACGCAGCCTAAAAAAGAGGTATCTAAAGGGGCGGGGAAGAAGGACGTATAATGCTAGATAAAAGGGTGGTAAATATGAAAGTGGCCATCTAATCGGACAGCAGGATTTGATTCAGTTGTTCCAGAGAAGAGGTTAGGACGGTCTATATACAGTCAAAACGTCCCAGAACAAGAGAGAGAACAAGAGAACAGAAATACTCAGTAGCATTAATGGCCTCATGACTTTGAGGTCCAAGAATCTATTCTATTCTAGAATACGTACACTAGTGCATACTACAGTCTGAATCATGGGAAAGTTTCGACCAAAATTTGTACAAAACACAGCGATAAGACTTGTTACGTGTTATCAGCGACTAATCTATCTAAGCCTTCTGCAGGTGAGTGTGTGAAAAACAGTAAATGTTCAGTATATGTATAATGTTCCAAAGATTTTTCAAATGAAGGATATGGAGATAACGAACAGTCAAATTCAAATATGGTATGAAAACTTTTTTGGCTTTTTATCTCATGGAATAACGCAATTTATAATGTTTTCAACAGTGATACATTGAATGAAAGACAAGATAGGCTGGAACCCTTTTTGGCCCCTGATCTGTGTCTCCAGGTGCGTTCAATATTTCATCATTTCAAATCTGCTGTCACCGCTCTTTCAAATTGAGCATTAGTTCTAAGTATTGGAGTAAACAAAGGTCACAGGAAGGGCACAAAATGTCATTTTCCGAATTTTTTCATTTTAATTTTCATCATTTTCAAGAAACATTTTGTTTCAAAACATACAGCGTACAAGCTTGTCTATCTACCAAATTTATATATTTCATGCACTAATATCAGCGAAAAGTATCTCAAATATGATTTCATTATTGCCATCAGAATTAAGAAAATTCGGTTAGATGTTCAAACTTTGACGCCTTCCCTAAAAATCAACATTTTAGAATGACATTCAGATTTCAAGAGGTTTCATTACAGTGTGATAAATATTTCATATTTGCACTAATATCAGCGAAATGTATCTCAAATATGATTTAATTATTGCCATAGCCACATTTATATGCACTCTCCTGTAAATGACATGAGAAATGTACTCAAAAAATCAAATTTATTGCTGGTTTTAAAACAAGCAACTTTTAAAGTTCATAACTGCAAACTATAACAATTTTAATTGTGTTTATATTTTTAGAAAAATTCAAAAAAGTGGCAAAATATGGCCGTTGTCACACATTATCCTTTGCATAAAATATATGTGGAAATAAGGAACAGTATTCATATAGCTCAAAAGTCCATAGCAATTTTTAAAAACATTTTAACTGTGTTTTGATTTTTAGATTTAAAAAACACATGAAATATAGACCTCAAAAACATCAGAGGTGGAATCAGGTGCCATGGAGGAGTGAGCATCCAATGCCGATAGCCGCCGTATTTTCATAAAATATTGTTTGCTGTGAAAATAACTTGCCATTTTCACACTTGGAAAGAAAATCACATGTTCGCATCAAAAACTACATTTTCTTTCTTTCACAAAAAATTGAGGCCTCAGGAAATCTCTATTCATTTTGATATCAAAGGGTTAAAGAACAAAGTCAGGAATTTTAACACTGCAAATAGCATTCCAGATAATAGGTACATGTATTTTTCTGTAGCTATTCTAAATTAAATTCTTTTTTCACCTGGCCGATATAATCTCATGATATTGCAAATCTAAAAAGAATGATGGCAATAACATACACATTGCTGATTCTCCGGAAACAATCTTCCTATTACAAAGATAGTTTTAGCTGTACCTTTTAGAGAAAACGTATTTTACACTTGAAGACTAAAAATAAATTTGGAAAGCATTCGTGAGTGAAAATTCTTCATTGGATAATATGCACCTTGAATTATTATGGTTTGGATTTCTCCCTTTTTTTTTTGGTAATTATTTTTTTCTTTATATACTTTAGAATTACAGCATTATGAGGTTTAGTAATCTTTGTCCGACAGTTCCACTGATTATTCCATTTGTTCTCTGCGTTGTTTGCACTAAAGATGACGTCATAAGAGGAACATACCATGCTTGGTGGGTAATTCTCCCTATTCCTAACAGCGCTGTCCGCAGCATGATAGAATGTAAGTAATTAACAGCGGTAGTTCAAAACATATAAGGCAAAATTCTGATGAGGATATCAGGTTTAGGATCATGAGGATAGGAAAATATTACAATTCTAAATCTTATCAAATACATGTAACTTTACTGTTTCATTATGCTGTACGGTGCAGAAATGGAAATTGATTCTCTAAATAAAATTAAAAAAAAACAAACAAGAAGAGATGTTGTAATCTAACTAAATGACTATTCATGATAGAGATTTCAATGTATCATATTTAAGACGTTCGATAATTTAACATTATTAATACATCTCTCATTACACTAGGGAGTGTATATTGCAGTGTTATTGCATTTTTATAAAATTCAAAATTGGAACTTGTAAAATTTCAATATTGATTCAATAAATCAAAATGTGAGAAGCAAAATTGTCCTTAATGATTTATTTCTATAGGAAAAACTGCTAAAAATCTTTGATGTGTTTGGCGTAATAACAGGGTAAAAAGGTCATTTAATGCTAGATGCCTCTGATGCGCTGAGAGAAGCCCATTGACCTTAATTTTTGTTTTGATTTTGAATTAAGCTATGTGTGTAGATTTTAAAGTATATATTTTTTTAAAATATTCTTTATAGTTACTTTTGAAAACGGTATTCAACCTCTTTAAAAAGGATAAACTGAAGCCAATAGATTAGTGTGAGTTGGCCATTACAGACACGATCAGTTAAAAGTAAAAGTCTGAAACAGAAGTGTTTGAAATGTCCTCTTTTATGTGTTTGCTGTAATATATCGACTTGACGTGATTGTGAAAGCCGTTGAAAGCGTTATCCGATGCATCGAAATACTGAAAGCTTCAGCTAGAGATTTCTTTTTACCCTGTAGAATGCTTTGAATTTAAATCTATAAGAACGGAAAAAAGGTCGGCTAATAATCATGATTTAAACATGTTATTGGAAGTATAATATTGATAATAAGAAACGCCGGTACTTCAACGAAATATCATTTTCACTCTATTTATGTGTAAAATCAGAATGATTTAAAAAACAAATTAAAGATAACCAGTCAAGTTAAATAATATACGAATTACATTTTGGACTAAGGAAACAATTTTATATAATGTCAAAAGTTAGCGAGGAATGGTTGTATTAGGCGTAGAAAAGGTATATGTTTGAGAATGCTATATATATATATATATATATATATATATATATATATATATATATATATATATATATATATATATATATATATATATATATATATTTGAAAATCTCTGAAAGTTGAATCTCTCTTAAAGTTCTTACAAATTTCTTAGAATCCACATCACAACAAATAAACTTTTTCACGTCAGTTGATATTTTGGTGATGAATAAGGATAAGGCTTAGATAAATATCTATAATAACAACCAAACAATAATCCATGGCCTCAAGGATTTATATGAAGATTAAAATGCAAGCTTTGTAAAGGTAACACTAGAAAAGGGAATAGCAAACATTTTTTCAAAAAAATTGATAGATAACGAACAGTAGTCGAGCTCAAAAATCTATATAAGAATTACACAAATTAGAAGAAGACCAACTAGATACCTTTAAAACATCATAGCAGGGACCAGGTATAATGGATAGGTAATCAATCCCGGTAAACCGGCCACATCCGCCTTCTACTCCTGATTAGCAAAAATAAAAATACGTAGGCATTCCAATAATACTAGCTAAAAAAGTCATTATAATGACCTTAGAATTAACGAAATACTGCTAACTCCAAACAATCAGAGATCTTATTTGTGTATTTCCAGACAGTAACATTCTACACGACATTGAGTTGATGACGCCACCATGGAGAACATGGCCTGAAGACAAACATCCAGTTCTGATGGAAATAGGCCGCGAATTAGATTGTGGACTCGTTTTCCCTCCCTGGCTACGAAGTGACTTTTTGGAGTACAAGTTTGATATTCCGTTCGTTCGTCGACAGACAGGCGGTGACCCTCTCAACTATAAACTCGTGTTATACGAAGACAGCGAAATCAACAGTATTTCCTCGGGTGTGGCCTACAAGTTAAATGCAACCAAAGCAACAATGGCGATGACAAATAACTCGTACACAATATCCAAAAATGGGGCGAAGTTTTCCTCGCAGTTTTCCTCAAATAAAACATGGTTTACTACTTCTGCAATGCCAGAATTTCAGATTTACAGAGACATTGCAGACCTTACATGGTTTGGTGGAAGAGGGCTGGAGACATGTGCACAGCATCATTATGATTTTAGCTCTGCCCGGATACGTCCAGCAGCTGTGCTAAGCATGACATTTAACCCCTCTCTACTGAACAACTACTTCCCTGACTTCCATCTCCGTACAAACCCACTATCAGGAGTAGATCTCTTTGGTAGCATTGAGATTTTAGCCAACTTCACTATGTCTCTACCACATTCATGTAGCTAATCGCAAATCTCTTTTTAAATATATACATATATATATTGCAGTTTTAGTAATGAAAATACAGAAAACTTTTTTTTGGTAATTTTAAGATACTATATTTATAGCTAGCAAATAAACAAAAAAATATAAATCATGAAGTAAAATAAACCATTTGTAACAGATTCAAAGGGACTTACCAAAGCACTTGAATATTAGAAATTGAACATGCCGGAAATATACCTTGTGTAATACATAATATTGATTATTTTTCGTCAATAGCGAAATAGTACTTATAAGTTACAAGTACTTGTTACTTATCATTGTTTTTATTTTTTTTATTATTTTTTTTTTGCTATGCTGCAACCTCAGCGTCTTTAGTACTGACTCCTTTATTTTAAATTTAGTGGTGCCTCAACCCATTGGGTTGATGGCGCTATTTATGCACCACTTTTGTTTCCAGTAAAGTTTGATGTATTCTATCGCATTATCAAATATGTATATTGTGACAATATTGTGGCTGGGAGACCACTGCTTTGTTATCATTTGATGAACTGCATTTATAGTCAATTTTTCGTCATTTAAACAAACCACAATTTTTTTATACACTTAAAATGATTTCTGTTATGAATTTTGGAAACAAAGACAGCTCCTATCTTGCTTGGACTACCAGTAAGGTTTTAGCATTTAAAAAAACAAGAAAAAGAAGTGACTACTATTTGATATTCAGATTAAGGGGGTCTCTGTGTTATAAATTTAGAGGAGCTAAACGATTGTTCAATGCAATTCGTGTTTTTGCCTCAAAATGTTTAATACAGATTTTTTTCTTTAAAAAGCATTGTAATAGAATGAATTTCGATTTAATCGTAATGAATGGATTAAGGTTTGGTTTTTACCTCAAGAGTATATGAATTAAATGGTATTCTCTATTCCCTTTGTTATGAATGTCCAACCCGACATTTAAAAACTTTTATTGAATCTGTTCTAAGAGGAAATGGGCTTTTTTTCAAAGTATTTCGACATTCACGGGTAACTGATTGTTTCGTGATTTTTGCATTGCTCATGTCCATTCTCAATTTGGAATATAGTTCTAAGTAGGGGAAGCCCCTCGTCACCATTGTAGCCCCTCAATGAAATATGCTTGAATGAAACAAGCTTCAGGATTTAAAGTCCATTCAAACAATAAAAATTTGAAACAGACCAGTCATGGACTTCTTAAACATCAGAGCCGAAATCAGATGCCATTGAGGAGTAAGCATCCCCTGTCGAGCGGTTCAACCGCCTTGTGCTCCTTGTCACGGTAAAAAAAAAGAAAAACATCCGTAAACAATTCAGCATGTAAACATTGGCTTGACAATTAAATGAAAAATGTTTCTATTCTGTGAGAAAGAAAAAAGGATCAGCAATCATCAAATGGCCAAAGGACTGTTATCTGTTCTTTTTCTCACAGAATGTATAGGATCTTCGGTCTATCTTAACTGGGAGCAAAGACACATTACTGGAACGACGCGATAGACTAGTTGCAGGCAGACACTAATGAAAATTGTAAAAGTCGATTATTTTTTATTCCTTTTTCTAAATCAATTTAAAAACTTCTAATCGTTTTTAAATTGATTTATTTACATTTCTAACTTTTTCTGTGATAACTCTCTGAACGTTAGGTGAGTCGATTTCTTTAAATCTATTAAGTAAACCTGAATGTAAATTTCGCCTTGAGTGAAAGGTAAAGTGCCGGATACAAATGTAAATCTTTTGAGGTTGTCTGTTTGTCTGACTTCAGTGGGCGGGACTATTAAAATTGACATGGTAGTTTCTAGTAATTTATAATCTATTTGACATTTTTAAATTCAAACTATCAATTCTATTTCACAATTAAATGTTAATATTAGAAATCACTGTCTAGTTTGTTGGGTATGTCAGGGACATCAACGGCAGTTGGAAACGTGGGAAAATAATCTCAGGTTTACAACTATCGTTGATGCCCTGGCATATAATATCAAACAAACTAGACAGTAATTCCTAAAAGAAAAAATTTGCCCCACCCCCAAAAAAATTTATGCTTGAAAAGAGACATTCAAGACACATTCAAATACCATATAAGCAGAATTTTTGGAGGGGGTTTAAAATTTGCATTATTAGCTAGGGTGTTCAGATTGCTTAAATTCAATACCGCTTAAAATTTATTGTGTTAAAATGAGTATTTTAAAATTGCTCAAATTATTCCGCGCTAAACTATAAAATATCACTTTAAAGGATATCGCCAAAATTTGCGTCTTGATGAAATTTACAGATACCGTACATGTATGTATCCTTGCATATAGTAAGTACTATTTGTAAGTAAAAGTTTATCCGAAAAATCACATGGGAACGAAGCAAAATTCTCCATTTGGAAAATTACGCACTCTGTACATACTTCTTGACACTACATGTAATAAAGAAATACGCACACTAACTCTCGATTCCCGCCTACATTTTGGAACCATTTAATTCAATATAAATAGCAATTTGGCCATAAAATCTTTGTTTAATACAAAGAACAGTTCAATGGTAATTGATGAATTTTCTTAATACCAGCGCCAAACAGTAAATTATCCATAATTCCAGCTCTTGAAAAAAGGTGGGTAGACGATATTTTCCATTGAAATTGGAGTTTCAAACATCACCAAATTTTGAAATAGTCTTGGATATGATTAAATGTTCCTAATATCATTTCTTATGTTTTAGGCAAATAGATAAAACATAAATATTTCAATAAAATATAATGTTTCAGTTTTACTTGCTTTGATATTGGTAGAAAATAAGCATTTTTATCGTTTTTTGTCAATAAACATATGTTCCCCCCGATGTCACACAAAAAGCTTTGGTATGAATTTGTGAAATAGCATTCCATATTACCCGTAAAAAGGAATTTTTGTGACACGGGGGGGGGGGGAGATGTTTTAAAAATATTTTCCGTTTTCCGTTGCTTTCTATAGTGAAAAACACAAGTTTTACCAAAATTTTAAAGTTATCTCTCTTTTTTTTCCCAAATAAGTAATGTTTTATGAAAATCCATATACTTATCTATAAAAAATATTCAAAATTCATCGAATATGTTTACTTTTGAAAATTGACTTGGAGGTAGGCGGGAGAACAAAACTATCGTTCGCAGTTCTTTGTCATCTAAATGTGATCTACAAAGCAAATGATAACCTAATTAAGCAACTCGTTATTTTTCTAAGATTAAGAGAGACTTTTAATGTGGGAATAGACAGTATTTTCAACAGAACTTCCTAAGAGGTCTTACCTCGGGAATGGCCAGAAGAGCACTTACGACCCAGCCAGAAGCTGCCATCAGAGTTCTGGTCCGCGGAGATTGGGTGATGGACCGCAGGGGAAACACGAAGGCCAGAAAACGGTCAATACTGATACAGCACAAGAGAAAAACCGTACTATACTGACCAAAGCTCCAAAGAAATTTGTATAGTTTACACAGAAAAGCACCTCCTTTCCAGACAACAGTGGCGTTTAAAATCATTTCTCCAACAGGTATTACAAACATCACCATCAAGTTCGCCGATGACAAATGTAGGAGAAAAAAATTGGTGGGGGACTTTCGTTTTTCACTGCTAAAAAGAGTCACAAAAAAGGCAATATTTCCCAAGGCACCGATAAGAAACATGGATCCTAAGGAGATAATGGTGTATGCATTATTGTCGTTAAATTTCAGATGATTTGGCAAATCAGAAACATCGGACAAGTTGCCATCCATTTTTAGAGTTTTCTGTTGGTTATGCCGTTTAATATTTCAAAATTAAAACAGTTTAATGGCTTAACATATTTTAATACGAAGTACCACATGCGGGAATGATACAGTCATGCCTCCTATTGAAATCAAGTAGCAGTATGCAGGTGTCGTGGATGCGGGTTTCAGGTCTCTTCTTTGTGGTAATGTTTAATCTTGTTTATCGTGGAGTTATGAAACGTGGTGAATCTTTAATTAATAACTCTCGTAAAAGCCAACTTAATTATAAGAATTACCACAAAGAAGGCCGCAGTGATACATGACATACTGCTAACACCAAAAGACCTTAGAAAAAAAAATCATGATTCCAACTAAAAGATTCAGGTTGTCCATGTTCTTGTGCAGCTGATAATAACGTCAACATGTCATTGAATCTAAAAATAAGTAAACGTACGTAATAGTCACTATGCCAATCCTTATCGTCTGCTTGTCAAATCCCATGAACAGTTCTTAGGGATCAACACAAAACGCTCACGTCTGAAGTTGTAAATAATAATTCCAGGTGCTACATTACTGGCTGTATTGTATTTACTAAAAGAAAAGTATTTCCGAGATCGACCCCGTGTAAATTCGGTTTGACATTGGTTTTCTTGTCTTTTGGTACAGATAGTACTTACGTAAAATAAAATATAGCATGTTACCGGCCCCGCGCGTATTAGCAACTGAAAATGGTAATTTCCAATCAAAAAGTTCTACATGAGGAGAAAACATTGGCAGTGACTTTCAATTCCACATTCATAGACATATCGTCGACATTTTTAAAACAATTTACGAAAGCTACTATGGGATATTGACACCTGTTGCAAGAAAATCATCAATACACGGCAAATGACAATACATTATTAGACTCTTTGTATACCCCTAAAGATATGGGTTTGTCCGTCTGTTTGTTAAACTTTGGATGCCTATCTCTTGTCCACAATTTCTGCTATATCACTGAAGGAAATTCAATGAGACATTCTCAAAATTTTTAACGTACAGAACCATTGTGTTATTTAATAGCCATTCTCTGTAACCACTTAAACTTCGTTGCCACGCATGGTCACCGATTTTGATGAAATTTCACCCATGCGTAGTACTTGACACCAGAAACAAATATCAAACAAAATTTCGTTGCTATGTGTCTCGGTTGCTATGGCAACAGCCGGAAAAGTTTGAAAAATCAAGATTTTCAGCCATTTTAAATCTTGACTGTGGCTTAATAAAAACTAGAAAAAGCAAACAAACCATTCTAACAAAAACATGACACCTTGATGCCACTTATACTGTAA